GACGACCGGGGTTCGATCCCCGACGGGGGCAGAGGATTTTTCCTCTAGCCTCTGCGTCCAGACCGGCTCTGGGGCCCACCCAGCCTCCTCTACAATGGGTACCGGGGTCCTTTCCCGGGGGTAAAGCCGGCCGGGGCGTGATGCTGACCACTCACCCCCATCTAGTGCCGAGGTCAAGGAAGGGAGGAGCTATACCTCCTCTCACCCCAAACGCCTACATGGCGTAGAGTGGGACAAACTTTACTTTTTTACTTTTTACCTACACGTCCAAACAGCATCGCAGTCCAGAAGAACTCACTGGCATCTTCAGTGCATGAGAATCTTAGATCTCACAAATACCAATCTCACTGTGTTAAACTAGTAAGTGCACTACTCACAGACTTAGACATGACGTCTAGGAAACCGTCAAAGCTCCTTCCTGGAGGAAGACCACAAAGTTTTCTATAGTGGTTGTATCCTGGCAACCCGTGATCCCGTCCTCGCTGAACATCCAAACTCAATGCATCCATTCCAAACCGACCATCATCCTTGTAGAGCATTTGTATCAACTGTTGAGGGAAAAAAGTTATGTAAAGTCCCTGCAATTAAAAGTGTATAATACTTCACTTTGTCAATTTTAAAGCAAACCACAGCTTTACATAAAAGTCAACTTACATCATTTTCATAATATAAGTCACTCTTCTGACTTGTTTGCGTAGCAAGGCCACGAACCAAGGAATCTAGGTTTTCTGATTCCTCGATTGCTTCTGGATGGTTAAAATTATTCCTCAACTGGAGACTTTTGTTTGTGTTACGATTTTCATCATACAGCCTGTAAGGAGAAAATTAAAATTTCCTATTAAAGAACAATAATAGGAGAAGTACAGGAATCTTGGAATGGAAAAAGTAATTCATATTCAGCATATTATGTTACAAGAACATGTCTTCATTAGTGGTATAACAATATATTCTGCTTTTGTTCAGAATGCACACAAGCCATTTCAAATATTCCTTTGAAATACTCGTAATTTGTAATTAATATATATTTTTATTTACTATATTAGCAATATGCTCTGTCGATGCGTTAATCTTGATTTAATGTGCTGTATTACCCGATGTTTCCAACCATCATGGACAACCTAAAACGGATACCAGCTGTGGCAAAGCTGTTGGACACACTGGGATTCAGACTTTCAGTGAAATCACTGCTGAATCCAGTCTTCCTCAGTCGCAAACCAAGTTTCTTTGTGTATCTGGAACCTGAAAAGAAGACATCAGATTCTTCATGTGTCTGTTTATTTCTGAAACATGACTGTCATTTTGTCTCAATAACTCAAGATCAATTTTGATACTGAAAGCTGAAACTCACCGAGTACGAGGGGCAACCATTCGTCATAAGTAATATGTTGAATCTCAGCAATTACAATCTTTCGTGCCTCTTGATATAATGTGTCGTCATCCCAATGAGGATTCAAGAGTGCCAACTTTTCAACTATGCGGTTATGTTCACGGAGCCAAAGCGTATGCATGATGGCTAGATGAGGATGTAGGTTCACTCGCAGGTCACCTAGTGACAAACAAAGCGGAGTCAGTATTAGTCTTCTGGGTCGCAACACTGTGTGGACTCGTGGGTAGATACCGATGTCTCTGACAAATATCAACATTTTAACCTCCATGAGAACGTCAAATCTCAGAAGCAGAAAAAGCTCACAACTAATTTCCAATATAATGCCAGAGCCAGGTACTAACCAAGGTTCCATTAACTTACCAGCTTTGTAGCAAGAAGATGTGTTGGAAGACACTTGACACTGTTGCAGAGGTTTGTCAGCTCTTGGCAGGTATTCACGCCCATTTTTCAATTCTGCAGAAAGCCCACCATTTGCAAATGTTCTAAGAGCCCATGCCTTTTCAACAGTTGAACCATAGATCATGGAGCCATCAAGGTGGTGCGTTGCTTGGTTCATCTGAAACATTAATTTAACAGTGCTGATTAAATTAGATTATACTAAATTAAATACATATTTACTTATAGCAATAAAAAGCATAAAAATGTGAACGTATTTGCACACTACAACTTCATTTTGAAATTTTTTTAGAGAATATTAGACTAGTTTCAAAAGTAGAATTTTAAGTAGCAAACAACGTTACACATTTGATGGAAATCCTTAACAGAAAGGACCACTTGGAAGACCTGCACATATGTAGATTGAGTATAACATTAAAATTAATCAATCTTAAATAAATAGTGTGGGAGGATGTAGACTGCATTAATCCAGTTCGGGACAGGGACCGTCGGTAGAATCTCGGGAGCCTGATAATGAACCTTGCTTCTGACGAAGCAATCTGCGCCAAGAAAAAAGTTTATTCTTCTCATAATGTAACCATTAATAATTCTGCATTAAAATACATGAAAATAATTAAGTTACCATAACACAAAAAAACACTCACTTGCTCCGCAGGACCAAAATGACAATCAGGCCTCATGGCCATCAGAGAACGGACGTAGTTCATACAACGCTGACGATACTTTGAGTAGAATGGGTCATTATTGGGAACACTGATTGGCATGCAAGCTGGGTGGATGTAGCGTGGTGCCAGGAAGCTTCCATCTTGTCTGCAGCACATAATGGGATTGCCACTGTGCACTGCAAGCAACACAGTATTTCTGAGTAGTTTATTTATGATAAAGAAATTGTTACCTAATACTCTTATGCCATTGTTACATAAATACTTGTGCTATAGGCTTTCTGATTTGGAAAAATGTTCTCATATTTTCAATACTGCTCATTAATCATCAATATCATTTAAATCATAACCACATTAAATGTATGGACCTTACCCTATACGCAAGCAGTTATATCCAGTAAACGTGATAGCAGCATTTCTTCTTCTTCTTATTCTCCTAATATTGTTTCTGATTTATATGTGTCACCAGGCAAAGAAAAGTCTCCAATGGTTACACTATCGTATTCATTATAAAATCAATTCCTTTCTTACAGTAATCTCCACTTCTCTCCATCTCTGCTTAGGTTACTAAGAGACTAACCAGTTCAGTTTACGGCATGAAAGCGAATTGTCCAACACTGATTCATTGCTTGGCAGCTGTTTAATTCATAAAGTGTTAATTACGGGGTGCCAAGGTGGATATATAATACAGTTCATTAACAGGAATGTATATTTGTAACAATGTCACATGAAAAGATAAAATTCATTGTTTCACTACACTTTAGTTTAAGAAAAACCCAGGTGAAAAATGGCTGATTTTTGCTAGTATAAACACAAAAAATGACAAATTTGTATCTAAGTATGATATTGTATTCCCACAATTAAACATTAGTGTTTCCAACAGTCTTTAAGCTTACCCATTCTCGTGGCAGGAGTGAAAACAAGATCATGCTCAATGAATTCTGTCCACTGCACTAAGCTTAGCGTTTTGCTGGTGTCTTCTGAGTCACTTTCTTTTGTCATACCCGTACTGATAAGACGAGCAGAAGGAAGAGATTTTCCTCGCACTGGTTTGCGTGGTTCTTGAATACCTGTAATATTTCAACAGTATGGGTTTAAAAGACATCCATGTCACACTGAATGTTTTAGATAAAATGTTTGCTAAAAGTTAGGTAATTATTCTATCTGTAAACAAGCTTATTATTTCCTTTCCTTCACCACTCACAAGTATCTTACCCTGAGCTGGACGGATCTCACACCCTATTTCTTTAAGAACCATTTTAATATTATCTTCTAATTTTTGCTTGCATCTCTTAAGCGCTCTATTCCCTTCAGGTTTTTTGATTAAAATGTTTTGTGCATTAACTCGAAGGTAGCCGAAGAACAAAAAATGTAAAAGCCAGCAGAATGCCGTACCGTCACCATACTGAGGTTCCAAAAGTCTGAGGTAGCTGGTGTGGACCTTGCCCCAAGCTTTGTGATTCTCGTGGTTGCACGATCCATCAATAGAGCGGTATTTGCCAGAGCAGGACGCACTGCTGCTATACTGAGCCGCACATTTGTCTCCGAGCGAAGTTGTATTCATCTCCATTGACATTACAAAGGCCCCACACTCATCATCATCAACGCCATACCTGCAAAAATGAAAACATGAACAGACACTAGGGAAAACGGTTTTTAATCCCTCAACTTTAAGAAGCAGCAGAAGAATAAGGATAACTTTTCCATTTACTTTAGTCTTTCATATAATTCTCAGAATAAATAGCGATATTTCCTTCAACGGCATAACCAGTTGATTGTTATATTGGACAAGCATTGTGTATTGATTTATGTAACAACTACATTTGTAAATATTATTTTCATGAGCTTTGACTTCAGAGGGGTAACATCGGTCAAATTCTGAAAGGTTAAGCAGTCATGATAGTTTGAAAATAAGATAAACACATGCCAGACAGGGATTTTAATGAATACCTTTACAATAACTGCAATGTAAAATTGAAATTTAATATTTAAACATGTTACAATTAACATTCTTACCATTGGCAATGCTTATGTGATATGTAGAGCGACGCTTTGGTCGCAATGAGTCCGTTCTTGCCGTGCCTCAGAGCCTCTGCAGAAGGATAAGATTCAATTAGTTGGCCATGTTGCGGGGTTTCCTGTCGAACCTTGGTGTTTGATCTGATCAAATTGTTTTCCATTCGAGTTTCACGGCCTAGATTCGACTCACTGAACTTCACAGACAAGTTGATTGATTCATCATCAACGTGGGGCAGCCCTGAGAGCTTTGTTGCTTTTTGAATGGAACGTTCTGATCGCTGTTGGTACAGAATTGGCCAACCTAAAGAAGAAAAGTATCATTACAACAAACAGTTCATGAAAACATAAGGAAATATAATTTCCTTTTCATATCTCAGATGCAGTTTGGGTGTCTTGCAATATTCCAAATATGCTCACTAAGAAACACGTTTTACATAATATGGCCATCCTTCTCAGTTATGTAATATGGGAAAATGTTGCTAAAATGTATCTAAAATTTCAGCAGTCTCCACAAACTAGTAAGATTGCATTCAGTCTAACTTAGTCACAATTATAATGTACTAATACAAAATCTTATATGCATTTCATACTTGCGAAAGTTTTGTAGCTGTTGTAGGTTCTGGATAAGGCTGGTATATTGAGAGCTTGTATGTTAGTGGGGGATGTCAGACTGAATTTTACCCCAAATTGAAGTGAGGTCCAAAGGAGGAATGCCAACACAACAGAGCCACAAGCCATCTTGACACCTCCTGCAACAGCAAACAAGATACATTATTCAATAATTTATTTTGAAAAATACACATATCTGTACAGGGAGTAAATTTGCTACTAGACTCTGATCTGACACTCATTCCCTTTTGACATAATAAGGTTTTCAGTGTCAGCTGTGTTGCAGCATTTGCGCGTTAAACAACACCTGAACCTCTGAGAGCACAGGGGATTTTTGTATGTACTTCTTCAGAAATGTTACCGTAAGAAACTTGTCAAACTTTGTGCAATATTATCATACTGTTCTGTGGTGAAGGGGATTATAAATTATTTATTCTTTATGGTTCATGTATATTTAATTACATGTGACATGTAAAGATACTTTAAATGTACTTTCTTTTTATGTCTTATCAGTCATAGCTAATATTATCTAATGATAAATTTAAATTTATATCATATATTTTTCTTTAGTTAATTCGGTGATGAACCTTCGGGTTCTGTAAGCTATCTAGTTAGTTAGTTTATTATATATCACAATTGTGATATAGCATTAGTAATACAATTAAATCATGGTAAAATTAAAAAATTCTTAATCAGATTTAGCTGCCAGTTGTGTTCATTATACTCTGAACATGAAAACCAAAGACAACTATTATTGTTATATCCTGGGTAGGCCAAGTTCTGTCATCTTTAGTTTCCTTTTCTGATTAAATATACAATATTTTGATACACTTGTTTTTATGACCTTAAAATAATACCATCTTATTTGCAGGTCACTTTCAAACATGTTATACTGTGAAGATGGCTGTATTTTGGTTTGTAGCATCCTGTAGTAAAAAATATAACAATGGAGTTAGTAATATGAAATATTTTTTAATAATTAACTACAAAATTCATCAGAGGTACAGTAATTAGGTTTTAAACAAAATTCCTCCTAAGTTCCGTTACTCTATATTAATTTAAAATGTTGCGTGCCTGATGCAAAAATTATTAATTTAATTAAAATAAATTGGTAGCGCGACATATGATTCTTACCGGGTACACTGTTCAGCGAAGGAACTTGGAGGGATAGTTCGAAATCCTTCACAGCCAAAATCCAATACGTCTTGCCTTGCCGCAGAATAGCCATTTTTGCAAACACGATATTTAAAAATTGTACAACAGTTTTTCTTGGTTGCTAAAATACTGTCCTTATCACAGCAATTGCTTAGAGTACTACTAAACGTATCGCTACGCTTTTAATGTTAGTGTTGTTTGTCTCTGAATTTGATTTTTTCTTTGATAAAGAATCAGCTGAATATTTCTGAGTGTTACAGATATTATTGCCATGTAACCCGTAGCCGTAATACGCGTCAACAAAACTTTTTGACACTAGAGAAGTTTATCAAACCCGTTTTCAGACGCTAGGAACTTCTGTTGCCCAACTGTACACATTTCAAAAGTATGTTTCCAGTCATCAACACAGCTGTCACTTGCGATGGAATGTGTTAAAAATGTGACTATTATTATATTTTGTTTCACTGTTTTATTTTAATTTAAAGCAGTGATATTCTGCAATGATTCAACTGAATGCTTTGTCCACAGGCACTGTTCTGTGTGTTTTTTGCCTTTTTGTATAATTCACAAATCCTCTCACATGGCGATGACTTCAATAGATTTGTACACTGCAGCTGTAGAAAGTCCGCGCTATATCTCAACGTTCCTTCTTAGGAGAGGGCATGAGGCCAACTGGTGATCACGCCGCGACCGCGTGGACAGATGTTATTACCCCTCCACAACTTCACAATGAATTCCTTCAGGTGTCCAACTGTATGCATGGGAAGTAGATTTCCGGATCTACAACACTTTTATATCGATTTTTTTATCATGTACGACAATTAGGCATAGTGTGCATGAGTAAAATGAGTCAGTTTTGAAGGTGGTCTTCCCACACCGAGGGTTTCACCAATCCTTTGATATCGAATTCCGTGACTTGAGCTCTGTCCCCGATATAATTGTGCAGGTGTTTTGGGGTTTCTTTCAAGTCAGACTAGTACTTAATGTAATCGTTGTTGAAGTAAGGGAAATATGAAACCGTCAAGACTGTAATAGATAATTAGAATGACAAAGTTTAACGTTGCATTTATTAAGAAATTACACAACAAGTTGGAAGTAATATCACATATGAAAGAATGTACGGATATAAGCCAACACATACACATCAGAACACGTGTAATGTATTGGGAAAAACGACTGTTACATAGACCTCCCTATCGGCCCACACGCGTCTATTTATATTTTGTAACACGTGGCTAATACGTGTAAGAACACTTTTACCTCTAGTACTTTTCCACTCACCTACTGTTCCCCCCGTCCTGTGTTGATATTGGCTATCTTTGTTCCTCGCATGCGACTTTCAGCGCTTTGCAGTAGACAACTTTATTTATATACCTGCTTTTTGTCGATAAAATTGCCGTAATAAAATTCTTACTTATATGGAATCTTCCGTTTAATATTTCATTATTATTCTTCTGTTTTTTTGTGGATTAAACTTTTTCAACTACATATCCGTTCAGATTTAGTAGGACTCCTTGGACGGAGGATTGGCCCGTCGCCAGGACTCTGCCTACACAAAACACGACACAGAAGACGACAAACAGCCATGCCATAAGCAGGATTCGAACCCACGATCTATATAAGGCCGTTTAAGCCTCCTACCACATGTGTTTTGCTGTAGGCCCATGTGATATGGAAAATTTTAACATTTTGTAAATGTCTTATACAGAAATATACATTATTTAATACTATATATTATGAAAGTATCATTTTAGGCCTGTAGCCTTCATATATTATTCATAACTTTATGAAGTAGCAGTGCGTTGCTTTTTGAGCGATGTTTCTGAACCCGGAAGTACAATTTCTAGAAGAATAACCCGAAATGGATGTTTGCTCCCTTCTTGATATGAATTTGCCTCATATTATATGTGCAGTAAACTCCCCATTATCCTGGGGCGGATTAATCGGAGTCTATCTATTTTAAACAAAAATTAATTTAGAAAATTTGTTGTAAACGTTAGAACGTTTGAAAATAAAGGGATAAATACAAAAATGAAATTATTTAATGTATTAACATAAATCAGTAGTTGCTAAAACAAAAAATTCTCAGCGGGACGTTATTACAATCCGTTACAATCATTTATTTTTTAAAATAGTTGGTTTATGTTGTGTTAAATTTTATATAAAATCTTTCATGTTAAAAGTAAACCTTTAAACATTTAAGTAGCGAATGTCTGTAAATAAACTTATGTATGTGTTAACATTTGCGTGTTTTTCTTTCATGTTTGCGGATTATTCGGGAAAATTTATTTCCCAAACAATCCAAACCGGATTAGTAAAAATTCAGTTGAGTCTGATCAAGAAAGTTACATTTCATCTCCTACCAGATATTGCTTTAATAATATTTATTACGGATTTTATCGAAGCCATACATTCATTCCATTTAAATACAGAAGTAGGATCTCATGCCAGATACATAAGGTACCAATGTTTCAGTGTTAAGACCCTAGAAACCATAGTAGTTTGGCATAAGTATTAAATACTGCATGCTTATATGAGAATATGCATTCGGCGTTTAATATATGAACATATAAACGAGGAGGGCTGTAAAAATCAAAGATTATATGAAAATATGACCGATTTTAGTCCATTTGATTTTGTGTTATCCCATTAATTGACTTTCATTTTTTTCGCCAGGGAGAAGCCGTATTAAAAAAACACTGTAATTCAGTTAACGGTGATCCCAGCCCCTCAAAATATGCGCAATTATTATAGTTATTTGCTGTGTCAATTATGTGCAAGAAAAGAATGTGCTTGTGAATTTTATATGTTAAAAACGTTTAATGTAAAATCATATTAATCCAAGTTACGGATTCTACGGTTTTGTACCCCTTTAGACCACAGCAAATATCCGTAAGTTTATATAGCGTTTCAGACAATAAGACTCGTTAAATGGAAATTACAAATTTCTTTGTATATGTATACATTACCTAGCAGATAATTTCGAGGAACATCCAATATTTTTGCCATAGTCTCAAAGCATTAGTTTCCCTGCTTGTTGCATTAGCTGCCACGTGTACTGGGTTATAAAATAATAAATAGTGCAGGTGGAAGTAAGCTTGTCGTTTGGAACTCACATTGTCACGCCAAAAGGACACCAGAAACGTCTTGAACACACACTGCATCACACTCAACGTAGAAAAGTGCTAAAGAAGTGTTTGCCCACACTATTTGGACTCGTTAACCGTTTTGGAAAATGAGTGCTCTCAATTGAGACTTCGTGTTTTGCAATTTATTTTTCAACTTCACGATAACATGTCTCTTTGTGTGGATGGAAAGACGCCAGTTGTTCATATGCTGCTGTTTAGTGTAATTATCGGAAACGTGCACTTGGTTCATGACCGCAGACATTTCCGCTCTCGGTTTTTGACTTCGTAACACGCCCAGGTGGGTCCCTGACTTGTTACAGCTTCAGCACCAAGCCAGCGAGGAAAGCGTCTGGTCTCTATAATTCTGTCGTATTATTCTTCATCAATCCAAACTCAAAAACCATTCATTATCCACAGCTGGGTGTAACGGGACTATATATCCTTTACATTTCAATTTAGATCTCTATCTTTTTGTGAATGCACATCGTGTACTACAAAAACCACTTACTTTTGCCAGTGTTACGTATCTTTTCTGTCACGTAATGGAACAAGGGAACAAAGCCTTCATTACCGTGCAGATTTTTCAAGCAGCATTTTGTCTGACCTGTATTCGGAAAGTACCGGATTTTGAATTACGGCTGTGGTGGGTTTCGTTGTTTTCGTCAGTCCCTCCTTTTTAAATAGGAATAGTACATATGTTGACGTAGACTGCGTATGCTAAGCTTTCGCCTTATTCCATACTAACTAACACCTGAAGCTGACAAAACGGCCATAAGACATTCTATTTATGCTGTGCCATGACTGGTGGAGGGGGGAAAGTTTCGCTCAGGCCATTAGCGAGGAACGGAATTATGTTACTGTCGGTGCATGTTAGTCGTTCACCAATGCCAGTTGTTTTTAACTTCACACGCCACTTGCCATTAACTGTAATGAATATCAGCAGTGAACAGCTGCAGTTGTTGGAGTTTGTTTATTTGGAAAGTTGCATTATCGTTACGAAGGCTAAACGGAACATAAAATCCAGCTCAACGTACGACACTGTGTACTGCAGTGTAAAGTATGCAAGAAAGATAACTCTCGATATTTACATTCAAGATTTTTATTGCCTTTACGTGTTGTGTTTACATTATACAGTGTAAACACAAATGATGTAAGCGGATTCAGATATTTTTGTAACTAAATTTAAACGGCATACAGACATGACACCTACACCATTGGAAATAACTTAAAAAACGTAAAAGAAGTTACGTACGGTCACTAGGAGCACAACTGTTACATGTAACATGACAGTTGAACGGCGACTCGACCCGAGAAAGTGAATTGAATTAGCACATGGAGGATTTTTATGGATTTTTCTCCGAAAACCTCGTTGAACAGCATCTCAGACTTTGTGGACTGCAGCTCGAGCACAAAAGACGCGTTCTCTGGTTAATACGCCGTTTTATTGCCATTTCAACAGTAGTGACCGTTGTTGGAAGTTTTCTTTCCAATGGTGTAATTTTTTGTATGCCGTATAGTTTTTGTCAAATATTTGAAAACGCTTAGATTTATTCTGTACATAAAAGGAAGGACATTTCTTGACCTGCTGAGCGATTATCAGCTTCTCAGGAAGAACTTTGCTAATTGAGTTATAAGTAAAAAACACGGCTATGGATGAAACTTTGGGTGCTCAGTTCGATGAATGAAAATATGCAGTTTCAGGCGGCAAGATGTCCTTTACGCAACTGATTGGTTGGTTCGTACGTTAGTTAACAGCGCTTTGCTAAGCAGATTTGTTACATACTATCAACCTTGAGTGGGTGAAGTGATATGAAATTACTTAACTGCATTGCGGTGAACAGCTGTACGTGTTGACGGCCGTGAAACAACCTTGATCGTGAAATAGTGTTTTTGTTCAGGAGCGGCATGCGTCAGTCTGAATATTTCTCCGAAGAATAAAAAAAATCTCCCACTCATGAGACATTACTTTCCGGTAGTATTACATAATCCAGGAGCGAAGGGAATTCATCGATTGTGTGACGCACATTCAAAAAGCTGAGATTTCAGGTTCATACGGCACCGAGAATGAAGATGGTTATCTTCTCGGTTGTTGCGTCGT